TCCCTTCCCTTCCCCTCCCCCTCCCTCTCTCAAAATCAGTAAAAATATTTTTTTAAAAAGAGGGCCCCAGAGGGACCACAGAGGCGTCTACTTTTGCGTTGGCATTTTTCACTCTTGCCTCTTCCCTGCAGGGGTAAAGACACGTAGATCACACAGCCAGTTCTGAGTGGTGCAAGAACCAGAACCCATGCTTCCACAATGCCATGTGCTGCTGCCTGGGTTCTTCACTGAGTGCAAGCAGAAGTGGAGGAAACCAGTGTGTTGCAAGGAAAGCTGGCTGATCTGAAAGCCAGGAAACTTGGGTTCCTTAGCCTTTGAGCACATTATAAGAATTATCAAGTGCAACTAAGATTTTGACAGCCCTTCTAGTTTTGGAAACTAGGAATATAGAGAAGAGGCAAGGAAAGGCCTGGCTAAGAACCCAGGCCCTGGAAGCAGACTACCACTGTTCAGATCCCCATTCTCCATGTGACCTAAGGTTTATTACCTGATTTCTATAAGCTTCCTTATCTATAAAACGGTGATGAAAGAATTTACTGTGAGATTGTTGTAAGGCACTTAATGATTTAACGCAGTGTGACCCAAGAGTAAACATTTCCTCAAAGAGGTATCTTAAAAAAACAAATAGGGTCTTGGGAGAAGACTGGCCTGAGGGGCTGATTTGGGAGTTTCATGAAGCATAGGTCTGAACATGGATTAAATAAGATGTGGGAGGTCAGAGCTTCAGACGATCTGGTTAGAAGGCTGAAAGGAGAGGGAGAATTAGTGAAGAAAACCAAGCCTAGGATTCAAGATGGAAGAAACCAGAAAAGTGGCAAGTCACCAAAACTGAGGAGGAAAGCACCGAGGCAGGGACACTGTGCAGCACCATTGGGGACACTTGTGCAGTACTGTCAGGAGCTGTAGGCTGGTGAGGTGGGTTTGACTGAGCAGAGCTGGAAAGTTGGGTAGATCAGGGGTGTCTTCTCCCCACCTCCAGTGGTGCCATGTTTGTGTCCATGTCTTCTAGGGGTAGATGTAATAAATGGGGCCCTGGAGTCAGTCCTGTCCTCCAGTAGCCGTGAGCAGTGGACCCCAAGCCATGTCAGCGTGGCCCCTGCCACCCTCACCATCTTGCATCAGCAGGTAAAGACCTGGGGTGAGAGAAGGCATGGCAGTGCTTTGCCATGGAGGGGGACCTGGGGGTGGGGCCGGAAGTGAGGGCAAGTGCTGCCGGTGAGGTGGATGTGCCAGTAGAACAGAGTCTGGCTGTTCCTCACTAACTGGGCTCCCTCCCTGCAGACAGAGGCGGTGCTGGGAGAGTGTCGGGTGCGCTTCCTATCCTTCCTGGCAGTGGGCAGAGATGTCCACACATTCGCATTCATCATGGCTGCAGGCCCGGCCTCCTTCTGCTGCCACATGTTCTGGTGCGAGCCGAATGCTGCCAGCCTCTCAGAAGCTGTGCAGGCTGCGTGCATGGTAAGTGGGTTGGTTGGTGGGGGTGCTGACACTGACCCAGGTGGGCAGGCTGGAGAATGACTGCCCACCTGTCTCTGCAGCTCCGCTACCAGAAGTGTCTGGATGCCCGCTCCCAGGCCTCCACCTCCTGCCTCCCTGCACCCCCTGCTGAGTCCGTTGCCCGGCGTGTCGGGTGGACTGTCCGCAGGGGTGTCCAGTCGCTGTGGGGTTCCCTCAAGCCCAAACGCCTGGGGGCCCACACCCCCTGAAGCCCTCAGTTCTTCCTCTACCTGCTTGCATTGGGCGCCAGGGAACTCAAGGCTATGGGGCGGGGGGGAGGGGGGGGCTAGAGGCTATCCTTAGGCCTCAGCCCCACTCCCCTCCCAAGCTGCCCCTCCTCAGTAGCTGGGTTCCCTGCTAGGGGCTGGGGAGGGAGATATCCAATCCCTTCAAGGAAGTGACAATACTGGATTGATGACAAGAGGAACAGGAAGCAAGACCAGCCCCCCTCTCCATCCCCACATTGCAGGTGGAGCAGAAGAATTCTAAGCCAGGCCCCATCTTTGTAGGGTCCAAGCAGGGGCAGAAGTAGGGGATTAGTCCAGACATGGACCCCCCTGCCCCCTGGCACCTCTGCTGTACTGATAACACTAATAAAGTCTGTCTGCCCTGCTGAGCTGTGTCACTTTCTGTGCCCGCACCACACCATCACTCCCATTACCCTGATAGCTCAGTTAGGATCTGTTCCCAAGGTCCCCTTGCCCTGCCTGCCTTGAAAGAAACGGAGTCACAGAGGGGGAGGATCTGGAGTCCAAGTCTCTTATCTTTATTGTAACAGCCTGACAGCCAGGCGGCAGCAGCACAGTGTTCCTGGCTGGCCAGCACAGGCCTGGGGCCATAGCCCCTGTCTGGTGTGCCCAGGGCAGTGCCAACTGAGACCTCTGCCCCAAGTCTGAAAGGACAGCAGCCCCAGGGCAGCCTAGATGTTGCGAACAGGCAGAGCAGACAATCCCCCTCCATGACGTGCCATCCCAGCTCCAGGAAAGAAGGTGCCGTTTCCCCCGTGTACTTGGGGCCCAGGATAGGCTCTTCGCAGACACTCTTCTCACCACAGCAGCCTTCTGGTGTTTTTGCTCCCTTCCTAAGACACGCACTTTCCCAACTCTGAGTGCTAGCAGAATGGTGGCCGTGGCCGCAGGCTCTGGACATCAGAGAGGCTTGCATCTGGTGCCAGGTGGCGACACAGAGCAGGGCTGTCGGAGCGGGCGGAGAGCTGGGCGCACAGAGTAGCAAGGCGGCAGGGTGTGCCACAGGGCTCTGAGGGCGGGTGGCCCTTATGGTAGAGAAACCAGAAGGTCTGGAATAGCCGCATGTCGCCCCGCATGCGATATACCAGGTCGTGCCAGGCGGCTGGCAGCGCATTGGGCAGCCCGTAGGTTTCTCGAGCCCTGTAGAGGAGATGCCAGTGCGGAGTGGCTCCCGGCTCATTCGCCTGCGTTAGGTTCAGGATGTAGGTTTCGTGATCCAGGACCACGTGAGAGCTCCCGGGGTAGTTGCCATCTATTTGGTAGACCCGGTAACCTGCAAGGAGGGAGGGCTGGCTGGAGACTTGTAAGGCACAATGGTAGCAGGAGGGCCTCACATCCAGCCCCTTGCTGGCCTAGACCCCGCCCCTTCATCACCAACTTCCCACCAACTGCGCCTATTTCAACAACTGACCTCTGCCTCACTCACCAGGATTAAGGCCGATGTAGGTGGTCGCACTGGGCGCCAGGAAGGCTACAGATAGCGGCCGGCTCAGGGTCTCCTCGTCATAAAAGACTTCAAACTCATCCACGTGAGTGTGGCCAAAGAACTGACCAGCCAAGGTGTTCTCGTACCTAGCCGGAAGACAAGAATCATTCGGAAGGTTCCAGGGCAGAGGGGGATAGGATACCTTCTTTTCCATCCTATTCAAGTATGTAGCCTCCCCACCCGGATGGGGCAGCAGGGATGGTGAGAGGCTCAAGGGAATTTCAATCTTTAGACTCTTCATCCCTCCACCGCCACCTCCCTCCTACCTAGCTACAATTCGGTAGTAATTCCAGCTCCAGCTTTTCAGGCAGTGCCCTGGGGGGATGTGGCCAATTATATGCACCTGTGGGGAGAGAGAAGGGCAGTTACCGGGACAAGGAGAGGTTCAGACGACCCCTGGCCAGCAGAGTTGGAACTCATCTCTCCTGTACTGGCTGGCATTCCTGGCCTGTGAGAGGGGGAGTGAACAGAAGGACTTCTAAGGGGGACCCTGAGCTGCACCCCAAGAGAACACTGTTTTTGGAAGCTGCTCTGCTCACAGGTGCTCCAGCTCCAAACAGGAGTCTGCTGGGAAGAGCTTGCAGCTCCCCAACCCTGGCACCTACACCATCATGCTCCCCACTCTCTCTCACCTTGTCTCCTCGATCCTCAGCAGCCTGAAGCTCCCCCACCAGCCACTGGAGCTGTCCAGCGGGATCTGTGGAGTTGATCAAGAGCCAGAAGTTCTCACGGGAACAAAAATTCATATTGAGAGAGATGAGGCGGAGGCCGGGGCATGGGGAAAGGGCATAGAACCCCCCAATTCTGAAACAAAGTGAACATGAGGGGTCAACACTCATAATCCTGGTCCTGCTTGCTCAGTCCTGTACTAGACACTCAGATGGAGGGCAGAGGCATACAGAACATCATCTCTACCCTCAAGGAGCTCGCACTCCAGCTGAAGACCACACAGCATGATTATAGGGCCCGAGTGACGCAGAGAGTGGTCCAGAGGGCTAAGGGCTCTAGGTGGTTCAAGGTAGAGAGAAAAGTGAGCTACAGTGGGGAGTAAAAGCCACTCAGGAAAGTTGGGGAAAGGTAGGATATTAAACAGGAGGGGACAGCATTCTAGAGAGGGCCAACATGAGCAGAGCAAAGACTAGCAATGGAGAAGGTATGCTGCCAGGCCTGTGAAGGAGGGCGGCTGCAGATAAGGGTGGGAATGGAAGGTGGGGTCAGATTAGGGAGGGCCAGAAAGGAGAGCAGAGGACTCCCACTACAGCAGTCAGAGATGACGCCCAGGTTCCCTGCTCCCTTCACTTTCAAACACGTTTCTTTTCCACTCCTGTTTTTCCATGGACCTCAAGTACCTGAGTGTACGAAGGGCTTCAGCAGGCAGCCAGGGCTCCCATGCCTTGGCCATGGCCTCATAGAGCCAGCGGGAAGAATGGTTGCCCTCTATGAAGGGGGGGGGGAAGCCATTGACGGGTGTGCTTTCGTGGTTGCCCACGGCAGGATACACAGGCACTGGCCCCAAGTACTTCTTCACAAGGGCCGTCACCGTGGTCAGGGCCTGCAGCTGGTCCTGGCGAGACTGGTGCCAGACATTATGGGCAGGGATGTCTCCTGTCCAGTACACCATATCAAAGGGGCCGGTGGGGCCCAGCCCGCTCAACAGGCTCTCCAGAGTCCGAAGGGGCAGGTCACACTTGCTGTACTCGCCCCAGTATCCAGCACCTGGGCGGGAGGGGGGAGGCAGGCCAGAGCCCCTGCGGCAACACAGTGGGTCCTCACAGTCAGGGTCTGTGCCCTCCAAGTAGTCCCGGTCCCAGTGCAGGTCAGTGAGGAAGAGGACCCGGCTGACAGGGGCACCTGGCGCTGGGGGTTTGGGCGGCTGGGGGGATGGCTTTGGCACGGCTGGCAAAGAGATGTTCCAAGATGAGAAAATGTCCCAGTGCCCACAGGTGGAGCCCAGGATCAGGCCACAGGCCTCAGATGGGCTCAGTACTGAGCGTCTCCACACCTCCACCATGTCATCTTCAAAGAGCTCGACAGCTGACTGGCACACGGTGGGTGGTGCTATCTTCAGCAGCTTGCACAGCCTGGTGGCCAGGGAGCCCACCCGGGCCACATTGGTCTCTCTCTATGGTGGAAAGACCCAGTGGTGAGAGGTCAGAGACAGAGCACAGGGGCCAGGCCATCCCCTGGCTACCACCCTTTGGGCCTCCACATCCAAACTGGGGCTGGGCTGGACTCCATGCAACCATGAAGAGACCTCAGCGCACCCCCTGCCTCCCACAGATACTGTCCTGTGACTCAGGCAGCACCTCCTCTTCAGTTCCATGTCCAGTGGCATTTCAGGCCTTTGCTTGCTCAGCTGGCTTTCTGCAGCGTGCCCTGAAATTTGGGCTGGGCACGACAGACTCTCCAGGGTTTGGGGACACACACAAGGGCAGGGCCCTGTTTATCTGAGGAGCCTCACAAAGCTCACCTAACAGGGTCAAGGCAGCCTCATCTAGTCCCACACCCCTGGATATGTCTTAATTCAAGTCCCTTTTGAGTAGCTAGTACCAGGCAGGGTGCTCGGGGCTTCAGGTGCCAAGTGCGAGGCAAAGGCACACCAGGATGGGAGTCCCAGTCTCCCCCTGGCCAGTCGTCGGCCCTTGGACAAGTGACTTCATCTCTCTGGGACTCTATTCATTCGTAAAATGGAGATAACAGCTGTAGCGAAACCAGCTCGCAGGCTTGATTTAACCAGTAGAAAATGGCTAGCACAGTGCTCAACATATAATGTGCACTTTCCTTACTCCACAAGGTCACAATGGAGGTAGTGGTAGGGTACAGTCACGGGTGTCCCTAAAGGAGAGCAAATCCAGTGCACGTCCGGGGTGCCAGCCTCGCCCCGTCGGGGGCGCCCCTGGGGACCCTGCGGCCCGGCCTCTCCTCGGGCCTGCCTCCCCGCGGCCCCTCCAGCACTCACCTGCAGTCCGAAGTCGATGGCGGTGAACAGGCTTTTGCAGGCTGGGCAGGTGAGGTTCCTCCAGCCGAAGGTGTCCCGGAGCTGGGGCGCTACGCGACTGAAACTGGCGAAATGGCCTCGGGCGGGAAGCGGGTGGGCCCCCGCCGGGGTCCAGAGAGCTGGGGAGCCGAGCAGGGCGAGCGCCAGCGCCATCCACAGGAGCCCCGGGCTGGGCGCGCCGCAGACCCTGCCGGGTCGCTGCTCCCCGCCGGGCCTGGGGTGGCCTCGGCTGGGAGTTACTCCCAGGGGGGGCACTGCCATCCCGGCTGGTCGCCGGCCCCGGCCCCTCCAGTCCAGGCCCCGGCTGGCCTCAGAGCCCTGGGGACCCGCGCCAGGGACAGCCAGCTAGCCCAGCAGCAGTTGGCTGACAGCTCGGCAAACAAGCTGCACAACAGCTCCACCCCTTCC